CCAACCCCCTTTTCTGTCCCTATCTTTATCACTATCTTTATCTCTCCCTCTAGTCTACACACATTCAGAAACATACAGGATCGCTCACACACAAAGGAAGATGCGACAGCTGTCATAACCTACCTATAAAGATGAAAAATGGACACAGCAAAACATGGGAAAAGTGTTTTGGTTTTTTTTACATTGAAGTCTGTGAGCCAACCATAAATCACGGGTTAAATGGCGATGAATAATCGGTCTACATGGGAATATAAAGCAGCATATCACGCCGAATGGGCTCATATAAACTGAATTTAGTGAAGTACTTACGCATTTTCTTGAATAAATGAGGCTGAGAGCATTGCAGGAAAAGTCAGCAGGGCCCTGGTCCCCGTTTTCGAGATTTGCAGTACGACCGTTGCACGGATCTCCATGTGAAAGGGATTCGAGGCTGCTGCAGTCCGCGTCTCTCTCGATCACAAGTCACAATGCTCGCCTGCAAAAAAATGCCAAACATTTACAGAGAGTTGCGTGGATCTGCTGTGCGGCCACCATTCCCTTGTATGTAATGACCGCGATGAAAACCCTCAGAGGACCAGCAGTAGTCCCTTGACTTAGAGATATTCCTCTGGACTGAGGAGGAGGAAATCCTGCAGAGTTTTTGATTGGGGATCGAATCTGTACGGGCCCTTTCCTCCTAAACAAGTCACAGTCCAAAAAAAAAAATCTCTCACCGGTTGTTTCCCCCTTTGAAAAATCGTCAGATCAAATTCGACTCAAACAACAAACCAAAGTAGATTGATTATTTTTGGTTTGGCTCTCTGGCTGCGTTTTTGCGCGTATCATTTTCTCAGAACAAATTAACAAGAACAGTAGAGAAATGACAATTGACAATCACCCATTTACAACATTGTTGACAAGGGCAGCGCAGACAAAAGCGTCCTTAAAAAGGGAGAAGAAGAAGAAAAAACGTAAAAACACCTATCGGATGTGATTAAGGATGTCTGTTCCACTGCAACCATCACATGCGTCGCATCAGGACTAATGGGTTGCCATAGGCTGCTCCAAAAATTTAAATATGGCATACAGTATTTTCTGTCAGGTAAGATAGGAAGGTTCCATGAGATGCGATATTTTCCCCAAAGCAATCCGGTTTATTGATTACATAAGCGCAGCTATTAGAAGCCTAATATTTCCGCTTGTCAGGGAGAATGTGTCCGACCCTTGTGGTGTGGAGGCAGCAGCATCATCCGTGTGTTGCAAATAAAGGGGCTTTTCGCCACCGGCTCCTAATGGTTCCCCCGCTCGCTGCGGTCCATGACTTGAATAGCGAGCACGTTGAAATCACGGTCTCCAGGCACAGATCCTCTGCGCGCGCGTGTGCGAGTCACGTGTATGTGTGTGTGTCGCCAAGAGTAGGTAGGTGCACGCGTGTGTAGGCGTGAGTGCTCCTGTGTCGCTCAGGGGCCACTTTATCTTTGACCACTTTCCCAGCGCATCCAGCTGCCCGTTGAAATCACTCAGTCCTCGTTAATTATCAGAGATCAATAGCATTAACGCATCAAGCCCAGATCTGATGTCTCGGAGTGACGGTTTGTGTGTGTGTGTGTGTGTGTGTGTGTATGTGTGTGTGTGTGTGTGTGAGAGAGAGTACGCGTACTTGTGTGATTCAGTTGTTGATGAGGTATGGTTGCCACCTACAGGCGTTAGTCGCTATCCAATCATTTAAACCGGACCCTTTCCACATTCAGCATCCTCAAATAAATTCACCTTCAACACATTCATGCAGAGGTCTTATCGGTTCTCCTCCACATTAAAAGCACAGATAAGATATGCGCATGTGTCTACTCTGTGAAAAACAGCTACAAAAGAAATCATGATTAATGCTCTGGGCTTACTTGGACTCCATTATTTCTCCACCTGCTATATTCAGTGAGCATGTTTAAGTGCGACCAATTTATTCCTTTAAAAAGTAGTGCCAGAAACAAACAAAATAGCCTCGGCCACGTCTGCACTGCCTGAAACCTACAGTACTTACTGACAGCCTTTACTGGCAATGGGATATAAATGTAATGGGAGAACTTCCACTGCACAGACCAGCATGTAGATCGGTAGTAAGGGGGATGAGTGAGTTGCAGAGGTGCACATAGACAAGTGAGCATGCATTCATTTGATCTGAGATGACCAGTCTGCCTCATTAGATGACATAATGGCCTGCAAGTCACCCATGTGATAGAGTGGCTCCTGGTGCACTATGAGACAAAAAGTCAGAGACAAAGAATAATGATGAATGCAAATCAACTGTAATGGAAACATACATATTGATCCCATTTATATATTACTGTAATCTAATTAAAGATGAGTGAGATCTTAATGAATAATCACTGTAATCACTCCACAAATGTGTAGTAGGAAACATGCTTGTATAAAGAGAATCATGAAAGGACAGGCTCAATGTTTCAATGTTTTGAGGGCATGAATGGGTCGCTGAATAATTTGATGATTATAAAAATGAGATGACTCATGTGCTGTGGCCTTAACTGTCACCAGATCATTTGATAAACACCAAAGGAGGATTTTGGTCATATATTTTAGATTAGCACATCTCCATCATTGTCAAAGCACCAAATGAGTTGAACCAAAAAAATATTTGTACAAATCAGAACACATAATTTCTTTTTTTGCATTTCTTGATGAACAGTCAACAGCAGTGCTATAGCGGCATAGTGGCTCTGTGAGGCAGTAGCAGTTGTCATAAAGTAAATCAAACTGTTAGATAAATCAAAGTGCTGGACAAATTGAAAATTCTGACCCGATGAGAAGTCAGGGGTTCATTGAAGTCAGTCAGTAGTGTGGAACATGCAGGACATGTGTCGACAAAATTTCACAACAATTCCCACAGCTGTTGTTGAGATAGTTCAAGGTGGACCTACGTGCCAGTCAGTACTGCTACTGTGTCTAAAATAGCTGAGTTCTGATTCATCTTCCGTTGATCGACTCCTTTATTATCAAAATAATGAAGCTTTTAGTGTAAGTTCAAGCTGGGAGACAAGTGTTAGCAGCCTCATTTTGTCATCACAAGCTCCGCCCTTCTGTCACCTCATCCCTTCACAGCATTCGGTGTATGGGAACTCCTGTCAGCCAGTGATCATCTTTGCTGAGAGGATATCTAAATCATTGTACCTATGCTGTCGTTGCAGTGTATGCAGCTTTGTAACTTCATCCTCCACCGCCCCACTGCCACCAGTGTCAAGGTGCCATTTGAGGCTCCAGGGGGAGCCTTAGGTTCTACCCTATCTTCTAGAAACAATGTTTATGTACAACCAAACTATAACAGCAAATAATTCTGTAGTCAGTGCATGTGGATCTTGTGCTGCAAGATCAGATATTTGGGTTGAAAAATATGTTGTTTGTAAACATTTTACTGATACACTCAGTATCAATACCATCACATTAGATAGATCATCAAAACAGTTATCTAGTTTTTCTTTTCCATTTGATCAAGTAAGCTTTATTACAATGAGCATCAGGCTGCCACCGGGGGTGGGGGGGTCGGGGTAAGGATTAATCAGAGTGCTCTTTTCGGTATACATGTCTGTTTATTACCTAACAATAAATAGGAAAAAGTTGATAACAAGAACAACAAAAGGCACTTATCTACTGTTTGTCAGCTACAAAACATTGCGGTCTGGTTAAACATAACAGATGTCGACATACAGTGACAAACACACCATTTGCGAACTGATTTGTCATGACATGGCAAAATGAGTAATAAGGCCTTCATTTGGTGGACAATGTAAAAACCCAACACTGTCACAGTGCATTCAGTTACTCATTCATTCTGTTTGTTTTGCCATGATTCACTAACTCTCGTCATTTATGACCCTCACACTCCCATCTTCCCTGCAGTGGCCCCAGGCTTTTGCACTTTTCTGTCACCTGGTTCCTCCATGTTCACCTGTTAATTCTTTCAGTCTGTAGTACAGTATATACTGTGGGCCACGTGCACTCTGGCAGACTGCCCTTACTGTACCTGCTATAGGCTGTATTAAAGGTGGATGGTTTGAAACTGATCTCTATGTCTGAGTGTAATTCAGCCCTTTGCCATGATACACTGATTCATAAGTTCTTAAGTTGCCTTTCAAAACTATTAACATCTAACCACTTTTGGTATCTTGAATGGAAAACAGTTCCTATACTGTCATAAAACATTTTAGCAATTTTTTTTCCATATATGTGAAAGTCTGAACTTTCCTCCTCATGCATAGCTAAAAGGGTAGCTTGTCAAAACACAAGCCGATTTCACACAGATTAAATATAAGCCTGGTCTAAAAAGATAAATCAGTGAAAATCTCATCAGAGAGAATTTTTATTCCCTCAGCTTTTGAAGTCAGATCCAGCTGCACAAAACTGGACCTTTTGTGTTTCACAAAAGGTATAATTGATCTTTACTTCAATATAATTTTTCATAGGCTGCACTAATGTAGCACCTATCAGTGACTTTCACAGCCTTCCCTACAAACGCTAGACATACATTTAATATATTTTCTCTTAGCATTTTATTCATGCTTTGATGAAATATAAATTCTAATTCCTCAAGATGTCTTGAGAAAAATAAATATATACAAATAAAAGCAGAGGGAAAGCGGACAGACACGCACAAACAGTGCTGCTGTAAACGGAGGTCTTAGCAGATCTGCACAGTCAAATCAGTGTCACCCACTTGCTGCTTCAACAATGTGATGCTGCATTACAGTGATTTTCATACAACTACAATGTATATACATTATACAGTATATCTTAAGCTCTATTTGGATTCATATAACAAAATATCAGTGCCAAAACTGTCCAGTTCACAGATGACTTCTGGGTGGTAAATCAACACTTAGACTTTGAAGCATATTTGACAGCTTGACAGCTTCTGTTACTTCTGTTTTCTATGCAAAAGGAAAAGTTGGAAATAGTTTGGACTGCACTTGGTATTCCTTTGAATCATTGGTTTCCATTAAGCTCAGAAGTCGTGTAAAAAACATGAATGTTAACACATTAATAGCATTTTTTCACAGGATCAAACTATTGAAAAAATATGAAGCTGTCTAACCTTTGTTTTGGTCTTCTAAATGCAAACACAACCTGATGGGTTTTAACTCACGCATTCTCAGCGAAGAGCTTTCACATCATTAGCAAAAGGCACAGTGCGTTTCATGTTTTATGGTCTTTTGTGAACTTCAAATGGTTTTCATTATACTGCTTGAGAGTATTTAAACTTTAAATCTACTTTATGCTCCATTCAGTCTTGTGGGAGGAATAAGGTTCCTCTCAGTGAGTTATTTAAACATACTGGTTTTAAAGTCTATCAAACAAATCGAAGGACAGATGGGAAAGCTATGCTAAAGTGTTAAATTACGTGCACAGATGGCTTTAGCTGATTTTTTCAGTTCCTTACTTTGCTCTGTAGTCACTTCTTTGTCAAAAACTATTTGATCTCTTTCTCTCTGAGAGGCATTTTGTTTTTCCTTCTTTTCTATCATCTTCCATCAGCCTGTTGGGATTGTTGGACTGGCTGCTGTAGTAGTACATGTCCCAGACTGCTTTCTGGGACAAACTTCAAGAAGCTGGGCTGGAAAAAAGATGGAAGAGAAAATTTACTGGGGTGGTGGTGGGATGGGGGGTGGGGGTCCTCTAGCATTACAGAGCCTCTTCAGTTATTTAAATGGCCACCGTCCTTCTGCACTTGTTCCCTCTGTTTGTTTTGAATATTAAAATAGTCTCCCCTAAGAGACAGATATCCAAGAAGATGAAACCCATGCAGAGAGTAAACTCTAATGGCACACTGCCTACAGTATACACCTAACTTTGAAAAGGGAAATATTCTTGTCATGTTTGGCCTAAATTCCATTAAAGACAGGCTGAGGGACTGCATTATGAGCACTGAGTAAGGTATGCTACCTGTGTCACAACAGACAGGAGATGCCCACTTCTCTATCAGTGCACAACAAAATGGTAACACAGGTCTTGATCACTTCTTTGGATCCTTTGTCCGGTCGCTCTAGTCTGATGACATTTTGCAACATGATCAAGAATTGATTCTTATCAAGACAGATTTTTACTCTCCTCGCACAGCATGGTTTGGACTTAGGGTTTGCTATTGCATCCCTGTTGTGAGATTAAGGGTGGTTGTTGTTCGGGTGTAGAGCATTTTGGCCATGATTGAGAGGGTAGGATAGAAATGAAAAACTTTTAAGAACTTTTATTTTAGTAAAGGCAGCCATACAACAGTGTACACTCTGTAGTAAAGTAGTATAAGTCATGCATTTAAAGACATGGCATAAGAAAGAATAAGTAAAGGTTTATGCAACTGTGTGAACATGAACAAACAGTTTATAATTGGACTTCAATGCAGTCCTAGGAAAAACTTATTTAATTACATTCAACTACTTATGTGAGTTTAGTGGTTCAACCCATGCCTTTTTCTCTTGTCTATATATCATAATCTCTATCATACAAGTGGCCTTATAGTGCATGTATAGAAAAGGACAAAGGGATTTTCAGAATGAATGCACTCAGACACTCTTTTTTGCAATGAATAA